GTGAAGACCAGAAAACTGCCAGCGTAGGGCCGGATCCAACTGGATCCGGTCCGAATCAAGACAGCTGAGCTCGAGCCCAGGAATCTGGATTCGGTCCGGATCCTCCTGGAATCGGTCTGGATCCAGTCTAAAACCCTGTTTCGCGATTTTCAGCATCTGAATGGGAATAGGACTCTTGGGAGCCGCCCTAGGGTTATAAAAAAGCCCTAGCCACGTCCTAGAACATCAGAGACCCTTAGAGAACACCTAGATGCACACTTTTGGAGAGCTTTTGGTGAGAGAAGAATCGAAGTTCACGGGATTTCGGGAAGAAGAAGGAGGATTCGATCGTGAAGACTAGACATCAACATGAGCTTTTCTATCCCTTCTTTTATCTCTTTTTCTCTGTTCTTTCTATTATTTTCCATGAACCTTGAGTAGATCCATGACTATGGGTTAGGGATTCGTTTGTGTTTTGGGTATGTTTGAACCCTAACTTGGATTTCGGTTTTGATTTGTTTCGGTTCTATTGATTTGCACTTTTATTGGATTGATGTTTGCTAACCCCTTGATCAATTATCTTGGATTCTGAACCACATAGAGATATGGGTTTGTTTCGGATCAAAATCAATAGGATAGATCGTATTATTCACATAGAGATATGGCTTAATCGATCTAGGGTTGATGATAGCGTTCTTCATGCATCTAGGGTTAACTTGAATAGATCGAGAGATTGACGAGTTACTCTGTACATAGTGAGTTAGTAGACCGAGAGGTGAATTCTCTATTATCGTTGCTTGATGATTCCCGAATACAAGTCATAATCGTTATTCATGCATGCTTAGTAAATACCCATACACGCGAATACGATCCCGACGACCGTAGTCATCCTTGTTTGATAGGTCACTTGTTTTTATTTACTTTCTTATATTGCTTACCATTGATTCTACATATTTCCACCATCACTTGCTTGCTTGCTTTGATCTATTTTCGATCTAGATTTGGATTTCGCAACCGGTCCTCGTGTTCGACCCCGTGTTACGACGATCCGTATCCTTGCGGTGAGTTGTGAATCGGGTTATAAATTCTAGACTCGGTACACACGTATCAAGTTTTTGGCGCCGTTGCCGGGGACTGGTTAGCCTATTTTTTGGTCTTTATCGATTCTAGATCTTGCTTGT